TTGGTCTGCCTTTCTTCCCCATTAGCTCTGACTGTGTGAGAGGCAATCTCCCCCGGATGTGGCAGAATTGAATAGAGGAGATGTCAGCCTCCGTCTGGTACATTTCCATCAACACAGGTTCAGACAGCGGTTTGACTTGTCTGATGTTTGTAATGTTAAAAAAGAAAATTTTCCCTTTGATCGCGTCAATTGCTTGCTGAGCTCAGGGCGGACTGATATCACTTTAGCTTCTCAGATCTGTGAGTTTAGCAGAATGGTTTTGAACACCTTGCGGGACAGGAGAGGAAGAGTTTCAGAGAAAGCACCTTCCTTCCTCTGAAACTCTTCCTTCCTGCTCTGCCAAAAGGCGTCTTCTGATATTACTTTCATTCACACTGAAAGTCATCCATTTCCCAAAAAGTGATACACTATGTTTTCTGAGCTGCCACCACTATGTTTAATGTGTGGGTGAAGTCAGGTAACTAAACTTTTATAGATAGATGAGTAGATCGATCTTGGTCCTGCTAGTGGTCATTGTGCTTGCATGTACATCCATCAGGTTAGAAGTCCTGACATAGCTCATTTATAATTCCAAAATTTGTCATGTTAAACTGACAAAGATCTGTTGTCTGGACCAAATTGAAAATATTTTTATTGTGAACATATGCACATCCAGTAAAGAGCCAATAGGATCCAAATATTTCTGTGTTCAAGTGTAAGTCTTTTTAATTGATGTTTTCCCAAACAGGGCTTACACCTGGTCTTATAGTCTTATAAGTCAGTTATAACTAAGTTAACTTAACTTAGTTCGACCTAATAGTTACGCTGGTCACACCATCTACAGTTCTCGGTAAGACTAGGAGCACGCATCATAATCTAGGCTGATTAGTACAGCCTGTAGTTATTGATACTTTCTGTTCTGTGCCATGGATGTAGTTTACTAAGTAGTGAAAATGTTTGTCATCAGTGGCTGAGAACATGAAAAACAAAGGGTGTAAAATGGAAAGGGTTTATGCTCTTATGTGCAGTAAATGTCATGGCACTTTGCCTATTAAAATATATATACAATGCCTATAAAAAGTATTCACCCCCCTTGGATGTTTCACCCCTTTTGTTTCTTTTATACATGAAATCATGGTCAATATAATTTGCTTTTTTGACAAGAATTGCGAAAAAACTTCTTTAAATCAAAAGGTGGAAGACCGGATTTTTACCCAAACCTAATGTAATTCATTCAAAAAATATATAAGGTAAAGAAGATGATTGCATAAATTATTCACCCTTTTAAAGTGACTGAACCTACATTCAACAGAAGTCCAGCTAGTTGATGCCCAGCAGTGTCCCACAATTAGTGAAATGGAGATCCACCTGAGTTCAAGCTGATGTGTTGGTCAAAATAATATATAAAAAACACCTGTGTCTGGGATTGGGTGCATTCTACTAAATACTGACCTGAAGGGGGTGAATATTTATGCAATCATCTTCTTTACCTTTATATATTTTTAATTAATTGACATTCGTTTATATAAATCCGTCTTCACTTTGATATTAAAGAGATTTTTATATATATATATATATATATATATATATTACAACTAGAGTCAGGGGGTTACTAGTAGCGCTCATCCCCTGGGAGCCGTGACTATCCACCATATTTCATGGCAGGCTGAGTTGAATGGATGGGAAAATGATCTCAAATTACCACCACAGCATATACATTTTAGAATGTTAATGGTCCCTCCTTTCTATCTGGATGTCTTTGGACTTAGTGTTGGTTTGTGTAACCAGTGTAGACTATGTGTGTGTTCCATTATCAAAAGCTAGAGTCACCTCGTGCTGTGCTCTGGTAACAAAAGACATCATGAAAGCCATCAGTGTCATACAGACACTTCAATGATTTCGTCCAGCATCTATCACATGGAAGTCTTCTATTACCCCTGTCAAGGCTCCATACGTCCCCCACCACCAACCCCACAGCCATGTGGCATCCCTCAGAGTTTCTCATGACTGGCATTTTATTGATCTACTGTTGTCTCCCTGTGATGAAAATGGATCTGTTTTTTCCCCCGGGGTCCCAGACGTATTACTCAGCTCACTGGTTGTCTTCCAGCCCTTCACAATGAGATTTTTGCAGATATGGTCCTTCAGCAACAGGATGGGCTGGGATTGACTGGGATGGAGGGTGAGGACAGCCTGCAGATCTTCAATATTGGTCCCATCAGCATATCAACACCCCCACCCTTCCAAATACAAATCCTTGAAAATACCTCACAAATAAACCAGTGTGCATTCCCCTTAAGTATCTGTATTGACAAACTTAAACCTATCCCAACAACACCTGTATACCCCTAACTGTAACCCGGAGCTTGGTGCCGGCAGGCAAGTGACTTAACCTTTAAGGTTTCAGCAGTACATCTGAGCCTCTAATTCTGCAAGTCTCCGTAAAGCAATGAAAAGACATTCATTCAGCCTGACTAATTAGCAAGTTGTATCCTCTTTGTTTCTGGGCACAGTGACTGCATACAACATGACATCTTGTCACAGTGATGTTTCCAGCTTTGGTACTAGAGGAGATTGCCTTTTAACATAACCAACATCATTTGATTACACAGTAGGGGGTTCAAGATAGTTCCAGAACAATTATAAATTGCTGTTTAAAAAAGATTAAGACTGTTTGCTGACCATTACAGCTGCAGTAGGTAACTTTCATCAAAACAACTTTTTGTCATATTTGCTGAAACATTCACTGTATCCTGACAGTAGAACATGAGACAGCCTTTTTTTAAGACCAGTTTATCAGTGCTGCTCACCTGTACTCACAGTCCATATCTAGCAGCCTGTACTGTGGATGGAGACACTGCAGTACTGGACAGATCGAGAAGCTTGTTCCTCAAGAAATAGCTTACTTGTTCTCCCCCTGAAATCAAGTGTCCAGTCATTATGCTAAACTAGGCTAATCACATCCTGAAGCTAATAAGCATATTTCATAAAATATTATACTATTTTGTCAGACATGTCTCTGCATATTACACTACTATGAGATAAAATAGGACTTTCCAACATGACAAATTTATCTTTTTAATTTTCAGCTTTTAAAATGGCTCGCATTTACATTTTCAAACATCCATTTGGTTCCATTTGCTCTACTTAAAACAGCCTTATCTGGTTTAGTGAACTATGTCAGAGTGCAGTATGTTGAAGTATTAATGTCCAGTTAAGTGGTATTAAATCATTCATAAAGGTCAAGACTGTGTCATTTATGAACTGCACTGATTGAAAAAGTATTCAAACACGGCTAATTGACGCAATTTAGTCAGACTGCTTAAGCTTTTCTACTATTTAACACGTACACAGTATATGTGTGTCCAATCTTAGTTACTGTAGCATAGATAAATAGTGCAATGACACTTCATGATATATAATTTTGTTTCATTGTCCGATGCCCCCGTGAAAGATATATTACCCAACATGCTCTGCTCAAAAACGCTGATGTTGCGTGTTTCTGCTCAGGGTAGCTGTCAAAGTGAGCAGTCTTAATCAGTCCTGTTCATTTCACTCTTGTAAACCTTTCCTTCATTTATAAAGACATCAGCCTTGTGTTTTGTTTTGTTTTATATTATACACAGCTGTCTGTGATTTTATTTTATTTTTTCAAGTGCAGCATGTATTACATGCAGTATGCTTTTTAATAATACACTTCGGATCAACATGAGGGGGCCCGATAACCGGTCAAAATGGGGTCTAATCACAGACACAGTATAGTGCCTGATTCCTCACAATGTGTCATGGGCTACGTTTCCATTCAGTTTAAACACTCCCAAAAACTCCAGGACACAGATGATTCACTTCCATGAAGTTTACTGGGAATCTTGTGAAACTGTAACACAGTACAATGAGATACTTATATCATTAAAGAAGCTAAACACACAGTACCAAGGTAAATAGCACCGCTTAGCTAACGTAGCTGTGTAACTTATATGATGAAACACAATCGACCTTGAGTAATGAAACAAGCAAGCTAGAATCTATAAAGCTAACTATGCCTTAAGCATGAATACTAAATTAGCAACCATGTACTTAGGCGGTTGTGGCTCAGAGGCAGAGCGGGTCGTCCCCTTAATCGGAAGGTTGGTAGTTCGATTCCCCGCTCTTCCCTGTCACATGTCGAGTATCCTTGAGCAAGATACTGAACCTCCAAATTGCTCCTGATGCTGTGCATCAGTGTATGTGTATTGATTGTATGAATGAGTTAGATTCTGTTCGATGGGCTTTGACATCACTGAGTGAATGTGTGTGAAAGGGTGAATGTGTAAAAGACTAGAAAGGTGCTATATGAAGTACAGGACCATTTACTTGTTTTTTGGAGTGGAATATGAAACCAAAAAAATTACTTTTTTCCAATGGACAAAATGCTTTTGGTCTCAAACAATTACAATTACAATGTTAGCAGCAATCATTACTTCTGCTTGTTTTGTGGTAGTTTTCACCTCATAGGGATTGTTTTCATGGCACCTATCCAGTATGAGCAACACCTCGATACAGGCAGCAAAAGTTCTCCCCTGTGCATAGCCCACCAGTCACAGGCCATTGTAGTGATGACTGGAAGATGGTTTAGCTAATAACATCATGAGTGTATGACAGATTGTTTCTTTGCATAAGCATTGTATAAAGTGCCAATCATCCTTAAACTGATCATTCTGTTGACTTTTATTGAAATATGTAGTATTTTACAGCTCTGATAAACCCTGACCATTACCGTGTGTTGTTGAGTCTCCAAATAGCCATTTTATGTGTCCAGCTAGAATAAAACAATTCAGAGTGCTCAATTGTAGTGCTTTTGGAAAATAACATAAAACTAAAATTGAATTACGTGAAGAGAAATACCTAAATGTTTTGCCATTTTTATACCTCTGTAAATTTGGTTTGGTATCAATTGTGTTACTCTGGCTAACACCAAGCAGTTAGCTCTCAGAAGATTTCAAAATCTTAAATGTGTCCAAAAATTGCTTTTGTCCATCCAGGTGTATATGTGGAGAGGCAGCTCTGCCGTGATGCCATCCTGCCCATGCCGGCCATTTGTGAGGTGCCTTGCCCAAAGGACTGTGCCCTGAGTCCCTGGACCCCATGGTCTCTGTGCTCCCACACTTGCTCTGGAAAAAACACGGAGGGCAGGCAGACCAGAGCTCGCTCCATCCTCGCCTATAACGCAGGAGAAGGTAAGAACTCTAGCAGAACACAGTCACACTGACATAAGGCTTTGCCAATATATGGACCTTTCAATCAACTGACCCTTACTAAGTCCATCCTCTTTTGGCACATTGGTCAACTTTCTCCTTTCCTGGCTAATCTAAATCAATCATTAGCTGGCTAATTACTATTGTTTTGCTAATATTAGCTATCAGATACAAATAGCTAGCTAAAGAAGTGAAGATTAAATAAAAGCGACATATATATTACTAGCTACTTAAATACATCAGTTGTTACTTAGTTAACATTCTTAGCTGACTTAAGATGTGACTATATGACAGTTATCTTTTAACCATCTTCAACATAGATTAGCCTTGCACATAGCATATCTTAGTACTGGAAAGGAGAAAGCTGATCGAACCATTCTGACCGATGCTTTTATTGGAGCGCAACGCAAAAAGGGGCGGGACTCAGGAAGGGTCAGTTAGGAATCATTAAGTCAGTGTCATCTGATATGAACATGGTCAAATTGCACAGTGATGCTAGTAGTCTTAAAAACGTGGTTTTTGCCATATTTCTCATGTGCCTCTCCTCCTTATATACTACAAGTGAAATGTCAAGGTGAAATGAATGATTATGTGTTCCTCTACAGCGACTGCAAAGGTTGTGGCGTGGGTTACTGTGATGCAGGGTAAGAAGGGACTAGAAGAATAACTAGCTTGTTTACACTCACATTGTCCATCTTTATTGTACAGCATGTTCATGCCTTTTAAACGTTCACAAGGACTCTGCCTTTATTTCTGTTCAAGGTCCTTCCCTGCTGTCCTTGGTCCGTCCAATCTTCGGTACATTCTTATTTGATGTTCTTAGATGACAGCAAGTGATTTTTGCTGATGTAGTATGTAGTCTCCATATGTTTAACTAGAGGGAAACAAAAATGTGGCTACATTAATGTAATCTCTTCCCACCGATCTGCTGGGCCAGCAAAATCCCTGTGCTTTTAGAATAGAAAAAAAACCTTTAACACACTAGTAGTAGCATTGAGTATTCCTTAGCCTTAAGTGTTTCAAACCCCAAGGTGAGTGGTGGGTATCTAAGTGGTGCTGGAATGATACTGAAGCGATTGCCTCTGGGTTAAAGCCCAACCCTCGGAGCTGCCAATCACACTGTGAGAACTGAGCCGTTCTCACCAAACATCGTTATGAGAAAAAAACAGGAGGCTTCACAGATGGTTAGCGTCTGGCTTGGCAGCACATCAGAATTGTATCTTTTACGTCCCTGCTATCATTTTCACAGCTCTTGCCGTCTGACTTCTGGACCACATTGCGTGACATGCTGTGTCTGGCATATCTGCAACAATGCAGCATCCACCATCCACGCTGGAGTAAGGAGACCCCTCATACATAATGGATTTCCATGTGAATGGATACTCCTACTCCACAGTGCATGCTGGGCTTCAGGAGAATGTCCATGTCAGAGCGTGGTGCAGGCTGCAGGTTGCAGGGTGCGACTTGTTTATTAGCTTCCCTAGCATTTAGGTGGCAGACACTGCTGCAGTATTAGATGGATGACAATCGACAGAACACGGGGCCAAGCAGGTTGATGTGGTGTGTGATGAAAGAAGTGTCAAGTCACATAGACCTTTCCTGGCCATCAGCTATAGCAGAATGAGACAGGCTGGAAAGTATTCAGCATGCATCACAAGATAGAGAGTGGTAGAGTAGGGAGGATTGAAGTGCAAGAACCCAGTGCAAGATTTAAATCTGTTGGAGCCTTTTCCATGAATAACACTGCACAACGTTGCCATGACAGTGATGTCTAATTGTAATAAGGCTTTTTTAAAAGCTGGGTCTATGGTGAAACTACGGTGCCTGCGAATGACATGAAAAAAACAACAAACTGGAGCCAGTTTTTGTCCATTCTGGGTTAGTGTTCATTAGAAGGCTCAATCTAAGGTAATGAAAACACAACAGTTCTTATTTTCGGGGGATTAGTATATACTACATGCATCCTGGAAAACCTGGAAACCATATCACCCAATACTGGAAATAAACAATCTATATCATTATATATTATATATCTTAGATTGCATACATAAAGGTGCATATTTAGTTTGAAACTTAAGTGGTAGAAGGATAAGCTACACCAGATGTGGTTCACACCAGATGGGGACTTGACTTGCAGCAATCTTTTCGGGATCTGGTAAATTTTTTCAGAGCCACAAGCTCTCATATCAGAAGTGCATTTCTCTGTGCTGCACAACCGGAACCCTGCATTAGTTATGAATATTATATTCTATTTCTGCCAATAGATGTCACACAGTGGACCTTTAAAGCTGCAGTAGGTTATTTTTATAAAAATATATTTTTTTGTAATTTGCTGGAACTTTCACTCTATCCTGACAGTAGTATATGAGACAGATAGTCAGGTTCCTCTGGCTCCTCCTAGTGCTCCTAATGGGATTTGCAAAAATCTACCAGGCCTGAACAAAAACAACCAATCAGAGTCGAGATAGATAGTTGATTTTTCAGTCTCCTTTCCAGGTTGTAAAATAGCTTTTCTAACTTTTGATCCCTATTGGAAAAAGTTGTTGCAGGATAGCTCAATATTAACAAACTGCAGTAGAGAAAAAAATACAAAGAAATACGCCAATACGTCGCAATTTGCTGTTTTCTTGCATAACTGCAAAATCATGAAGAATTACAATGTGTTTTCAGTTAACCATTAGTTGCATAATCACATTCACATATTCACACTACACAATCATATGAAGGCAGCATGTACTGGTGTTGGTATGAGCTAATTATTCAGGTCAAGATGAACATTAAGAATGACAGGAGGAATTATTGCCTGGCAAGGTAGTGTTGAGTGAATCAGTGGCGGGGCTTCCATGGTGGCACGGGGGGCACCCGCCCCCCCCTGTAATCTGATTGGCCACCCAGTGTGCCCCCCCCCAATAACGCGGGGTAATGTCAATCATTGCGCTAAAGCTCTTTACCAACGCTGCATGTTAAAACG